CTCTCTCTTGATAAATTCAAGTTTGAAATAATTGCATCCAGCTTCATGAGTGATAGTGATCATATACATCATAGAAGAAAATCAATGATCAGCAATTCGTCCACAAATCAAAACAAATCAAAAACGACAAGAAACAAGATAGTATTCGACTTGAAAAACATACCATCACATAAGCTGGTTCATTCACATCGATGTCTATTGATATCTAGATCACTCCTATATTTTACAAAAAAACACATACTCACACTCCGATTCCAACATTCTAAGATTTTATTACTATTGGCATTGAACTTTTTTAACATGTATTCAAAAACAAGAGATATAGCTTTGAAATTGTACTCGAGCACTCTAAACAATAGAATAATCGAATTCTTGCAAATGAATGAAACCTTTGATGAGATCACTAGTAAACACATGAAATTGATTCGAAATTCTGCCAACAATCATTTGAATCTTTTGCTTGGAGGAACTGTTTCTAGAATAAAACAAAAAGTAAAGACATCTGATTTGCTAGTTCAAAGTTTATTGAACACTTTAATATTATCATTCAACAACAGACTTCAATATTCGATTCATTTGGCAGATCCTCTACATCTTGAAAGATATTTTAATATATATCAACTTGATTTAGTTGACAAGAATTTGAAATTTATCAATCTACTGAACCAAAGCGCTTTGACAGAGGATTTGATATCTGTTCCTGCATCTCAAAGGTTAAAACCACTACGATTAAGATCACTCTCTGGTGACAGTTCCAATACAAGAACTAATACTAATCCTGATTCCAATTTCAATCCCAACTCTAATACTAATTCATTTACTCAAATGAATCTTCAATGTTCACTAAAACAGCTGTCTACCAATCCTAATAAGCTACTCCAAAACTTTGAAACAATGAGAAGAATATTCATGTGTATCTTACTTTCCATCGTTGAGGAAAGTTCTGAACCACCAGCTCAAAATTCAAAGCACTTCCTCAACCAATGCGCCAGGAAATTCAATATACAATTGCCTCAATGGAGATATTTAAGCATTACAACCCGATTATTCATGATAAGCCAATGGCTAAGTCGAATCAATGCGTTGTTTTCTACTCTCATCAAAGAGATGGATGATACTGAGTTGCTAATGAGCTTGGATTTCTTAGAAGATGACACTATCCCACCAATCTTAGAAGATAATGAGGATGAGACTTTCAAAAAATTGATTCATCTGGTTGATAATTTAGGAGATAAGTTAAGTCTTGCAGACTTGAATTCCGACGTTATTGACCCAGCTGATAGCTTGCTCAAAATTGGAGAGTCCATTACAGAGTTGGTTGAACTGTTTAATAGTTCTATGGATAATATACGATCCAACAACAGCAACAACAGCAACGTCAACGATTCTGAGAATGAGGTTGCTACGCATGTTTCATTACCTGGATTGAACAAAACACGGGGAGAAACACCTGTAATTTCTGCGGGTCCTAAAAAGAGACACAGTAGTGGATTGAACTTCAATTTGGTTACTGTTTTCGAAGATAAGAGTGGATCAAAAGACTTGGATTCCAAAGAAAATAGTCTCGATTCGGGTAAAGTTATCGTTCATTCTGAGAGTGGTGTCAAGGAACTAGATGAAGCTGATGGTGAAAAATCTGGTATCCAAGGTAAGGAGCAATTGAAAAAAACGCTAGAAAAACTTTGTGGTGGTCTTTTAGATCAGAAATCTACGATGGCTCCTATTGAGATCCATAAAGATGAGCAGGTTAATATGACGCAAAGGTTTGTGTCTGCGTCTGCGTCTGCGTCTGATTCTGTACCTGCTCCTGTGTCTGTGTCTGTGCCTGTGCCTGTTAGTACAGTTTACGATGAGACGGAAAATCGCAACGAGAATCATTCAGCCTCAATTGATATGTCCACTCCACTAAAGCTTGAACATATCAATGTTTTGAAAAATGAGTTGAAGGGAATTTTCATGAAAAGCCTGTGAATTACTGTATGTGTGCGTGTGTGTGTTATCTTCTATCTCAATGTAAAAAGAAACCCTGATTTTTTTCTTAATCTTTCCTTGTCTGTCATTTATAGCTGGCTATTTATTTATAATTTATTTATTGGTGTAATTTTCATAACTATTTTTCCTTTTCTTTCATTAATGTTATTCATTCGGTTCGTTTTAAGTCTAAACAAACAATAAAAGTGTCCTAAACGGGAAATCAGATCCACGTTATCAATATATTTGAGCCGCGCAGAGAAGATGAACAGCCTTTCATGGAAAATCAAGTGGAGCTCAAAATCGTACCACTTTTCAGGAGTATCACAAGCAAGTCTAATTAGTTACAGCACGGAGTAAGCAAGGGACCGAGAGGCACAAATATATATTACATAGTATATACCCCCACATACAAATCAAATGACTTTTAGTGGATCTAATTTTGAGTACTATTATGTGCCGATAACGATTAGGATTTTAAATTCAACTACAAGAAACAAAATATTTGGATTATCTGGTATATATCTATATGTCAAACCATTAGATCCCAAACAAGCTCCAAAGGAGTTGATATTGAGTTTAATCTCTTTGCCTGATGAGTATATGAGTATTCAAACCAAGTTGGAAATATTTTTTACTACTAAGGAGTTAATAAATAATCAAGTTTCAGGTAAGGAAAATATACAATGGATTCAATGTAAATTGATTAAATTTCAAAAATTGATTGATCCAGATGTACCACCAAGCTCAGATATAGATCATTTAATATCTAATGGGTTTGAGTTTCAAACATCAAATGAAAATAACAAGAATAACAATGTGAAAGATACTTGCTTACTTGTATCAAAACCAAAATTTTCAATGTTTAACAATCTACTTGATAGAAAGATCAAATTTTTATCCTCTAAAATGAAAATTGAAATACCATCAAAAATTAGAATTGAAAGTTCTCCATTCAATATATCTAATGTTTCTGTATTTAATAATTTTAACTCGATTGGACATTTAAACTATGAGAGTTTAGATGGATCTTATTATTTAAGCGATTCCAAATACTTAGATAATATGATCGGTGGTGTTGTAACTTTACAAAATGATGAAAAAATGGATCACATTTATTCTCTAGGTTTGGTTTGGGGTAATATCGTCAAGGGAAACGGTCAAGGGGAATTGTTAGTTGTATTAAGTTGGTCTTATATAATGAGATTACTCACTGATGTGTTTGTCAATGAGCTTGGGTTGAATAAAGATGATGCTGATCAATTACTAACTTCCAAATGTTGCTCTTCCCAAGAACAGAGTAAATTCAAAGTCCAACCTACCAAGAAACTTAGTAGTGGTTTAGCTTCAGCTGTAGGTATCACAATCACAAATTTGGATGGACTGAGTTATTGGGGAAGTGGTGTGTTATTCATGAATGATTTGATCTTAACTAATCGTCACGTAATCATGTCTGGGGATAAATTGACAAATGAAATCAATATATGGATTAATGAAGGACGATCTATCAGAATAATTAAACCTGAAATTGGCAAAGATGTATTCATACCTTTCAATAATCAGCTTTTCGATATTTGTTTCATAAGAGTGCCTCAAATTAAAAAATTGTCAAAGAAACCAATCACATTATATGATGTTAACTCAATCGATAGTGCTATTTTCAAGATTCAAGAAAGGAAAAATTTGGAAATAAATTATTTTGATAACTCAATCACAAAATCAATTGGTTATGGATTGTTTTTCAATCGTAAACGGTTAACTCCATTGAAGTCAGTGGGTGGATTATCAACTACGATAAAGTTAAGTTCATTGTTCAAAAACTTCCCTATGGATCATCAGATACCTTCATTGATTATATCCTCATCATCGTGTTGGTCAGGATCATCAGGTGGTGCACTTGTTTCTGAAAACGAGGAATTGATTGGTGTTATGGTTAGTAATGGCCGTTTAAGTAATGGTGAGACTTTGAATATGTTAAATTTGGTTATCCCATTAGATATAATCCTATTAGGTTATTACGATTTGTTTTATGAGAAACTTGAATTTGATGATGAATCAATTGTTAAAGTGAATAATTTATATCAATTGAAAGAGCTATATAATGATTTATTTATTGAAAGTGTTAAACTATAGCTTTGTGTGCATGACTAATGAAATTTTACGTTCTGAAAATAATAATAATAATAATAATAATAATAATAATAATAGTAATTATATTCTCGAAGGGGTTAAATAAACCCTCGTTCGTTTAATAGAACAATCATTCTGATAGTAACTATGTAGGATATATAACCTTTAAACTAACTGGTTCCTATTAGCAAAAAATAAATCATTTGGAGATTCTGCTTCTGATATTATTGGGATTCATGATGGCTCAAGTAAGGTCACTAACTGTGAACAGCTAATATGATAACATGAAAGTCTCCGATCTGCATACAGATGAAAAGTTGATATCTCTTGAGGTTTGGCTAACTAATTGAAGAGAGCAATCAACCTAATAGTAACTACTTATAGTATGTATTGAAAAGTCTATGAGGTGCAGCCATGGTTGTAAAGCTGTCATCTTAACGATAATTATCATGATTCATATCATTTTCAATTTCCAAATAGACATTGACAATTATTTGCAATTCTAAATGCAAGATCCATATATCAACCACTTCAAATGGTAGATCTATCAAGTGAAAGTCTCATCGTTCACTTTTTCTATAAATCAAAGTGATAATTGAACGTTTAAAACTAAAAATTAAACTCGAATTTCTTCAAGATTCAAAAAAGTAAACGAGATTTTTTTCTCACTTTTCGAGGTTTGAAAACACTATAAATTAATCATTTTACACCAAAAAGCTATGATTAAGCCTGGATATGAAACATTGAACTTTCCTGAACCTACTCAAGTAATAATATCAGCAATTTAATAGAGTAAATGGTCACAAAAGTGAGAAAAAAGTTAAAAATTAAACTTGTTTTATTTTCGAAACAAAGTGTGCAACTTATCTAGTCATATATTAGAAATTTTTCAAGAATTAGTCAGTTTGTCCGAGCGGTTAAGGAGAAAGACTTGAAATCTTTTGGGCTCTGCCCGCACAGGTTCGAATCCTGTAGCTGACGTTTATTTTTTAATTTTTATTTTTTATCCACATAATAAAAAATGTGGGGTACCTTTTTTGTTTTTTTTTCCATTTTTCATTTAGTATTTTATATCATATCAGTGACTACGATTTACAAACCATATTAACAAATTTGCGTAACTCAATTCAAATAGATTAGAGTATCCACGCTTTTTCATAGTTTAAAGTACATAATTATAATTATCAGTTTTTAGATCATTTGAAGTATATATTTCTCTTATAAAACAATCAAATTAAACCAGCTAGCTAGCTAATTGTATTGATTGTTAAAGTTATAGAACACCAAATTGTTTGATATTAGTGTAGAAGGAGTAAGCGTATGCATCATACATCTTCATAAGCTTTGAAAGTGACTGTATTGTAGCACCTTTCTTATAATTGAATACATCACCTTTCTTAGGATAAACTTCATAATCTTTTTCATCAGTCATTTCAAAAACAGTAGTACCTTTTATTTCCAGGACAGCTTTTCATTTCATCATGAGGATGAATGTAAAGTAATTCTTCACCTGCTGTTTGTTTAGAAAAACCAGAAGGAAGTGATTTGTGTGTTTGATTCTATATCCGTTGATGTTAGAGTATCATTTATTCAGTATGATTCTGGGACATTAGTTTTCTGGGAGGTCATACATAACTTTCTTCTTTTGGTACTGTTTTCATAGGCATCTTGAGAGTGAGTTATCAGTTGAGTTAATTGATTATATTATGAATAGTACAATGGTTCAACTCAAGTAGAAAGTATATAGTAGGGACATATGTATATAGTTGATTTTACAAATAACTTTAAAACAAGTTGTACATCATTAGTAAACTGCGGAAATAGCATTTATCAGTAACAAACTGCATTTAGTATGTGATATTGAATCTCAGATCTACTTTTTTAACAATAGAGATACGTTTTGGCCCAAAGAATTAACAAAAGCGGAAAAGCGATAATGGTTGCATGTATGTATGTATTTGTCATGCACTAAAATCCGACACTGGGTTTTCCATTAATCATTTACGAAGTTGTACTGGTGAATTGATTGGGAAGTAATGACCTAGTTGATAAAAGTAGTTAGTATTCAGTTCATATACCTATGTAGTGTTTAATATATTACGGGGGAGTAACACCTTATAACCGAGGATGAGTAGTTTACATACATTTAAGGTTTTATTCGCGATAGGGTACTGTACTGTACTATAGTGTTGAAAAGCCTTTGAATTCAACAGTTTGATCAATTGATGTAGCTATGATAGATAAAGATAAGCACTAAGTATATATGCTAACAATTCTTGTATATATGAAAATGAAAATCAATTGTATAAACGTTTATTCTCGGTTTACAACCAAATCAGGAAGGACAAACACCCAAATTCAATTGATTTGAAACAATGAGTGTTAGGACATATGAAAACTACCGCCATAAAGGCAGTAACTACACCAGCACCAACACCAGCGTATCCCACTTCACTTCACTTCACTTCATTCCACTGGTAACAACTTCCATTTCCACACTCTTTGAACTAGTTAACCGAGGCGAGTTTGTTAACGATTTCGCACACTGTAAATTTTATCCTAATTAGGAAGGTAAATCTGCAATCTTACAACATGATTTTACCAACAAAGTTAATATAAATATCAACTTGATTTACCTTATTCTTTCAAACTGTAATTATATTCTTACTTTTTCTTCTTCTTTATCATCAATTACTTTTAACTTTTAATTAATATCAACTTTTTCAAAATGCCTATGTTCTATCAATCCAAAACTGAAAATGGTTTCTCAGTTAAGCCAACTGCTATCCCATCACCAGGTAACAATTCATTCTTATCAGATACATTCACTTCAGATGCTCCAAAAGATAAACAAATTTCTTGTGGTTTTTACAGACAAGAAGCAGGTGAAGCTTTAGTTTATACTTATGATTATGATGAAATGAAAGTTAATTTAGAAGTTCATGGTAAATTTACAGTTACTGATGAAACTGGATTTTCAAAATCAATTCAACAAGGTGATACTTTTTACTTTAAGAATGGATGTACTATTACTTTTAAAGTTGAAGGTACTGATGAAGTTCCAGAATCTGAAGCTTATGCATTAAACTTCTTCTGTGGTTTAAGACCAAATGGTACTGCTTGAATTAATTTTTAAGTGAAAAAAAAAATCATATACATAAACTTTACATAAAATAAAATAATATATATATATATATAATAAATAGTTGCAGGAACAGCTTCTTTGTTATTATTTAAATTGAATAACTTATCTTTAATTGTAAAAAAACTCCAATCTAATTACCTTATCGGGAACAACTTTCAAAGATGACGTAATCATTGAACACAGCCTTTAATAGACAAGTATTTTTAAAAATTATTGAAATTTGTTTCAATTACACTTAAAACAAGTGTAAGTTAAAGTGGGATACTTACTTTAAAACAAGTATAAAGTGATGGTTTATGTTGAGAGGGCACAGCCTCAAGTAGGTCCATTATCATTAACTCAACTAGCTAGAATCAAATGTATACAAAATGCACATTTAATAAATGATATAGGTATAGCACCATATCATTTAATTGAACCAATATTAAAAAAAAAATCAGCAAATTCATTAAAATTAATGGAATTACAATCACCTCAAATCATAGCTAATTCCGAACCATTATGGAGATCTTTAATTAAAAGAGATTTTAATGATAGACCATTAGATTTAATTACAATTAAAAATGGTAAAAAATTAAAATTTAAAGCTAGAGATTTATATTATAAATATTTAAAAGAAAGAGAAAATCAAAGATTATTAGCTGCTGAAAATTTAAAATTGATAACTAAACAATTAACAATTGAAAAAAATAAAAATAAAATAAAAGCTTTAAATCATGTTATTATACCATCTTATAATAAAAAAGTAATTTCAAATACAAATACAAATACTAAGAAATTTGGTAGTTTATTATTACAAAAGGCAACACAACAAAATAAGATAAGATCGAAATTTTTAAGTGATACATTTAAAAAGAAACCGCCACAACAACCTAAATTACAACAAGTTTCAAATATAAATTCAAATACGATAAAACAAATAACAACGGTTGATTCATCACAATTATCATCTGGGAATATTAAAAAGGTGAATTCAAGCGTAAGTGTAAGTGTGAATAGGTCAATGATAACAGTACCTAAACCTTCAAGTCCAATACAGAAGAAAAGGGAAATGATAAACGATAAACAATCACCCGTTAAGAAACGTAAAGTTGATATATCAAGGGATGATTCAAAGGTTAATAAAATGATATGGCCAACAACAACAACAACCACAACTCCAACTAATGTTAATGATAAGAATAAAAAATCAAATGTTTACATTTATAATCGTAAGTAAGTAGTTTATTAATCATATTATATTATTATTATATTATTTATGTATTCACTTCACTTATTCTCTTCTTCAATTGTCTTTCCAACACCCCATCACTTTTCCTCTTTTTATAATTATTAACATCCATTTTAAAATTCCCTGTTCCTTCACCATGAATCAATTCTTTCTTTTCTAATGAATTATCAATCAAATTCCCATCCCCACTAATAACAATAACTTGTTTATAAGATTTGATTCTTAATCTACCATTAATTAAAACTTTCAAAGACCAATCTTTCATAGTTTGAGAAGATCTATTATTATCCAATCCTATTAAAATTAATAAATTTACAACATCATTAAAAGAACGTAAAAGATGAGTCATGGTGCTTATGGAACTACAACCACTAGAACAAATCAAACCTCTTGATCTTGAAGCTCTAATTAATTGTTTTATATTTGATATAGTTAATGATCTATTTGAAGTATTAGTATTTAATAAATCTCCATATTTAATCTCAAAAAATAATCCTTTTTCAATACCTGAACAAATAGTCTTTGGTTTTAAATAACATGGTAATTTTAAACTTAAATCTAATGAAATTAAATCAATTTCAAAATTAGAAATACTTAATAATAATGCTTTTTCAGTAATTGGTTCAATTGACAAGATATCGAAAACTTGTTGAAATTTAGAAATATTTTGACATTGTGATGGATCAGATATAATTATTGTTATTCTAGTGAATATTTTTAAACGTTGATTAAATTCTTTAAAATCATTTAAATTAATTGGATTAATTTCATTTATTAAATTTGGTATTTTTAATGATTGATTGATTTTAAAATTAATTGCTATATGAGTATATCCTAATTCTTCCAATGTTGCCAATGTTAATTTCAAGGAATTTAATTGTTTTGTAGTTATTGGTGTGTAGTCTGACACAGGCCACGGCACATTCAAATCACAAATCATGATACTACAATGCTATACTGTACTATACTGTACTATACTACACTATAATTCACTAACAAATTGAAAAAACATGAAACAAATAAAAATTTAAAATTTGATTGTCTATTTGATGACTAATCGATCGATTTCATGGTTTTCACTTTAAAGTGGCAAATCACAATCTTATCTTCTAAGTATAGTATAGTATAGTATAGTATAGTATAGTATAGTATAGGCATAATAGCCAGGGTATAGTATGACTAAAGATGAAACTTTAATGTCAATAGGACAAAAATGTTCAATTTGTAATAAAATGGATTTTTTACCATTTACATGTCAAATATGTCAAACTTGTTTTTGTTCAGAACATCGAATTGAATTCATAGAACATGATTCAAATGAACATACTATAAAGAACAGTGTTGATGATCATAACAAAGAAAGTAAGTTACCCCCTTCCAAGAGTGTATTTCCTAATTTGAAAGAAATTAGAGAAGATGCTGAAATACAATCAAAATTGAAAAATACAACCCTGTTTGAAGATCCTAATAATTCTAATAATACAAAGACAAATAGTATCGTTTCTAAATTAGTTAATGATTCAATAACGAACACAACAGCAATAAAAGCATTAAATAAATTAAAACAATTCATATCAAATGCAAAATCAACAACAAATACAAACT